GCTCCTTCTATCTTGGCTGGTTGTCTCACTATCTACTGGGATTCCCAATCCAGAACCGTGGGAGTCATTACTGGGTCCTCCTCTCCCTTTGTCTCTAGACCTAATCCCAAGCCTTGTTAATAGATGCCTTAAACATTTCCCAAATTCATTCTTTTTCCTAAAGCTCTTGTACTAGTGATCTGGCTCAGCCCCTTGTCATCTTCCTAGATAATGACAGTCTTGCCTTCTAGCTGGTCTTCTTGACTTCATATTTATCCCCTTCACATCCTCCTTTCACATGCCATTAGAATGATCTGTGCAGAAGTACAGATCTCACTGTACCAGTCTTGTGTTTAACCTTCTGTTATTGTCCAGCTGTGTCAGCCGGGTTACTTTCCGTTGCAGATAAATAGATGGACACAGATCTGTCAGGATCTCGCAGGGCCTACTAAGGACTTTGGATTATATTCTAGACTCAGTGTAAATTTGGGGAATACTTAAGTAAGATATGGCATAATCAGATTTATGTTTCAAAGAATTTTCTCTACTTCTAGCTAGAGAATGGATCGGATAGAACAAGGATGGAAAAGGGGACCACCCTGCCAGGAAATTAGTTTGGACTATTCCAGGGAAGTGATTGTGGTGGCCTAGAGTAAGATCATGGCAGTGGAAATGGAGGGGAAAGTGTTGAACTTGAGATATATTTTAGAATTAAAATTAATGAACTTTTCCGATAGTTGTGAAGCAAAGAAAAGGAATAAAGGAGGCCTTGGGGGTAGTTTGAGTAACTATTGGATGATAGGGCCATTTACTGAGAAGAAGAAAACTAGGATGTAGAAGAAACTGGTTTAGGGGAAAAAATAAGAGTCTCCATATTAGGCATTTGAAGTCTGGGAGTTAGTGTGAGATATCCAAGTGGAGTGTCAAGTGAGGAGTTGGATATGCTAATCTGAACTAGTTGGGCAAGATCTAAGATGAATATAAACGTTCGGGAGCCATCACCATTGAAGATGGTATTAAACTCATGGAAACTGACATGGTCATTTTGGAGGAGACTGCAGAGAGAATAGAGAGGCGGCAGTCTGAGGACTGGGCTCTGAGAGGAACCCCACTATTGTGAGGTGGGTGGAGGATAAACAACCACTGAGCCAGGAGGAAAACAGTAGAGAAGAAAAAAAGTAGAGAAAGAAAAGAGAGAGAGTATGTTCCATGGTGCTGAGTGGCCCAGGAATTTCAGGACTGGGATGTATCTGTTGCATTTGGTGAAGTGGAAATTGTTGGTGATCTTTCCAAAAACCATTGGAGTGAATTGGTGGGAGTGAAAGCCATACTGAATGAAATGGGTTCAAAAGCCCTGGAGTAAGGAAAAGTAGGCCGTATGAATAAAATAGTTAACCCTTTCAGGTTGTGCTGATATAATTAATTCACTATTTCCTTTTTAAAAATCCTCTGTTATTAAATATGTCATATACCAAAAGAAGTTTCAGATGGGTTTGTCGAATGTATATTTTTTCAAAATAAAAATAGATGAAAATTTAATTTAATTTGCAATAATATGGCTTTCTTGATAACATCAGTGATGGAAATAACAAAGGAAGCAAGTAATACTTTATGATATACCACAGTTTTGTACCTACAACGACAAAAATGAGAGAAATTCTGAAAAATATATTGGCAAAGTTGGTAAAGTGCTAGTATGTCTCTAAATAGTTAAGAACCAACCAAATAAACAGGCAAACCTATCAAGCCAGTCACAATGTGGAAAGCTACTGAGGAGTTGCTATACTGCCTGCCACTCTAAGAAGGAAGTATGTCAGAACACTAACAGTGGTTAGTGGGAATATGTGTGATCTTTTTTTGTTTCCTTTTACTTTTATGTAAAATATTTCTAAATATTCCATTTTGAGCACATTTCATTTTTATAATTAGAAGCAAATGAATGCAAAAAGAAAAATGATTAAAATAGCTGCATAAATATCTTGTATTTTAGAAATTGCTATTAAAAAAATTCCTCCTTTTGACCAAAGCCTGTTACAATTCTTAAGGAGCAAAAGGAAGGCTGATATAATCTCATTTCTAGGTTAAGGTAATGTTAAATGGGTTGTTAGGTTTAAAGATGTTAATTTGTAATTTGATATAGCAAATCAGGTCACTATGTCCTTATATCATTGGGTGGGGGGATGTCTTAGTTAGTCTCTTCCATCATAATTGGGTTGAAGCAGCCAAGGAAAAAGATGAGATAGTAAAAGTTTACATCTACATCTTTGACTAGTCTTAGAAGGTGTTATCTTGAATATTATTTTTCAAAAACAGCTTTATTAAGGATAGTGTTTGTTTTTAAGATTCTGTTGCAATTTAATTTCATTGTTTCATTAATGTTAAAACTAGGGTTATGAGGTAAAAACTTTCCAAGAAGAAACTCTTTAATGAAGAAACAGGATACCTTAAGCATCTTTCCTCAGCTTTTTCATCAAGTCTGTTGCAAAATTGTGGTGAAAACCTAGGTTTTAGTCTTACCTCCTTTGCTGGGCAATGGAGTTTTAAGGTTAGTCAGGCAGGTAATGTTGTCAAGCCTGTTGTGCAGAACAGTTGAGAAATACACATTTTGCTAACTTGTAACTAACTCTTCTTTGTTGTGAGGGTGCAAAAACCTAATTTTTCTTTTGACAATTGTAATTGAATTTTTAAAGTCAGTAAAAAATAATCACCATAACTTAAATACGGGCAGTATTTAAACACTGGTCAGCAATACGTAATGGCTAATAACTTTATTTATTTCAGAAGTAAGTGTTCCCCCTGTAGAAGAACACCAGGAAGTACCACCAGGTATGACATTTTGTTAGTTATATTTAACTCTTATTATTTGATAGCTACTGTTACTATCAGCAGCAGCTTTGTAATAAATCTATGAAGGGTAAAACATCTTGAGAGAAGGGTTTAACTACTGTAATTTAAAATTCTTCTGTGTTTTGATCAATCGAACCAAAATGATGGAAAGTACACATCAGATTCACTGTAGTATGTATTTGTTGAGCTAGAATTGGAGGAACATTAATGGTCATATGATTTTGCCATTATAAATGGTGGTAGTAGAAGAAGTTTAGAGTTTTGTTTTCTTTTCCTTTTTGGTTAACAGGGCATTTGATGGCGGATATGGAGTCAGAATTGCCTTAGGGTGAAAGTTGGATGGTGCATAAATTAGACTCTACTCCTCTCGCTCCCCATTCCCCCACCTTCCTTGAGAGCTTCTTGGTGCCCTGGGGCCATCCAGGCTGCCTGGGGCTTGTCAACACCCTAGGGTCTCTACATTAAACCCAGTTTCTCCACCTTTCCTTATGTTCCCCTGCCTGTCGCCCTCCTCATCAGTGAATTTAAGGAATGGGAACAGCATTTCCACTGAGGCCTGTACTTGCCAGTGCATTTTAGAGAGGACATAAACTTACCTGCAGTCAGAAATTAGCATATAAACCTGGTTCTCATAGTGGGAAAGAATGTTCTAGTAAAAGAGGATTTTTCATTTCCCAGGTATATTTCTTCTCATTTCTGTGTTTCTTTCCTTTTTTTACCTTGTTGTGTCATCTTTATTTGTTCCGTCTTTACTCATAGTTTTCTCATTATGCTTAATGTGAATTTTGTAGCAGTGGTGTGCATTACTGTTAATTGATTTTGGTAGAAATAATTGGGCCTACCAAAATGTATTAAATACTAAAATTTCAGGAAAAAAACCCAAAATAATCAAAGGATATTTTTAGTTATGAATCAGCTTGTCTTATAAATGAGATATTTTAGATTTGATAGTTGCCATACCATGTACATTTATAATAATAATAATACAGAAACAAATACTTAAGAAGCCTGAATTGTTGGTATTATAATATGAATGAGAAAAGGAGTCCATGGAGAAATCGAGTTTTTACATGTGATTTCTAGGCAGTGTGCATTTATGTTTAGAAGACATGTACAGGGCAAGGAAAGTGGATATTTACATCCTATAACATTAATATTTTTCTAGTTATAGATCACATTTTTTAACATTGATATAATTTTTATGAAGGTCTGGAACATAATATTTCTGACCAGAAATCTCTGTGCTTTTATTTCAGTGTTTTTCAAACTGAGCCCAAGAATTTATTTGGACCATTAATGTGAAATACCAAGTGATTGGGGTGGTGAAATAAGGGGCTTTTTAGATGAGATATTGAACAGCTGAAGCACATAAAAAGATTTGGTTAATGTGCATAGTTCCTGACAGTTAATAAGCTCCTAGTAAGTGGTGGCTATGGCTATTGTTATTTAGTAATTAATTAGCCTGATCTTTGAGGTAGATCAAGATAAGCTAAATGCTGAAAGAGACCTTATCAAGAAGTTGTAACCTGTAATGTGGTATCATAAAAACTTGACTGACCCTTTGCATAGTTGTAATTTGACTTTGCCAAAGTGAGCGGAAGGCTGAGAGTCAGCAGTACAGTTATACGTCACTTAGTATGTTCTGGGAAATACGTCGTTAGGCGATTTTCTTCTTTGCGCTAACATCGAACATCGTGGAGTGCTCACACAAACCTAGATGGCACAGCCTACCGCACACCCAGGCTGAGTGGTACAGCGTAGTGCTCCTAGGCCATACCCTTGTGCATGTGTTACTGTGCCGAATACTCCAGGCAGTTGTAACGTAGCGGTATATGTGTATCTAAACATATCTAAACATAGAAAAGGTACAATAAAAATACAGTATAAAAGTTAAATGGTGCAACTTTATAGAACACTTACCATGAATGAGCTTGCAGGACTGGAAGTTGCTCTGGGCGTGTCAGTGAGTGTGAGTGAATGCAAAGGCCTGGGACATTGCTGTACACTGTAGACTTTAGGCTACACTAAATTTATAAAATAAACTTTCTTTAATAAATTAACTTTAGCTTACTCTAACTTTTTTACTTCGAAAGCATCTTAATTTTTTTTAAGTTTTTGACTCTTTTGTAGTAATACTTAGCTTAAAACACAAACACATGTACAGCTGTACAAAAATATTTCCTTTCTTTATATCCTTATTCTATAAGCTTTTCATTATTTTTACTTTTTACTTTTTGGACTTTTTGTTCCGAAGTAAGACACAAACAGACATAGTAACCTAGGCCCACGCAAGGTCAGATCATCAACGTCTCTGCCTTCCGCCTCCACATCTTGTCCCACGGGAAGGTCTTCAGGGGCAATAACAAGCATAGCGCCGTCATCTCCTATGATAGCAATGCCTTCTTCTGCTTACCTCCCGAAGGACCTGCCTAAGGCTATCTTACAGTTAACTTTTTGTTTTTATTGAGTAGAAGGAGCACACTCTAAAATAATGATGAAAAGCATGGTGTAGTAAATACATAAACCAGTAGTAACACAGTCATTTATTATCATTGTCAAGTATTACGTACTGTACATAGTCGTGTGTGCTGTGCATTTCTGTGACTGGCAGCACAGCCAGCTTGTTTCTGTCACCACAACCATGTGAGTCATGCGTTGCATGGCAACCTTAAGATGGCTACGACGTCAGTAGAAATAGAAATGTTTCAGCTCCATTATAATCTTACGGGACCACCACTGCATATTCAGTCTGTCCAAAATATTATGTGCTGCATGATTGTAGTTACTTTTAACCATTGCACCTGAGTTGCTTATTTTCTATAAGTCCTGGTCATATTCTTAGTCTTACCTCATATTACAATTTTTTATTATGTCATTGGGCAAAATAATATACATAAATCTATATTCATGATATTTTTGTACAGTACATTGACTGCTTTTGTAATAGTGTTTAATTATGTATCTGACTGCAGAAACTGCAGGAATGCTGATTGTAGGGCCTGCCTCCTTACTGCCTTTCAATCTTTAAAATTCTCTTACTCAGTGGAAAACTCAAATCGAGGACTTCTGCAAAATGCTGGATATTAGTTCACCTTTTTCCTGGCTGTCAGAACCTAACCGATGATTAATTTGCGATGATTAATTTGCGTTCCCTGATTATTCTGAGAGTAGGTTATACAGCCTTAATGTGGCTTACAAAGTTTATGGTAATGTAGTTGTGGGTGTGCTGATCCCATGGGGCATTATCACCATTGTATTCAGCCACACAGTGGGAGACGTGAACTTTCACATTTGTTAAGCATTGTGGAGGAGCCCTTCTAAGCACATTTCATGGATTAACCTTTAATAGAGGTAGACATACTGTTAGCCTCTATTTTGCAGATGAGACCACTGAAGCCCATCCAGGCAAACTAACCTTCCCTGGGCCACAGCTGACCAGCAGCAGTAGGGTTGATCGCTGCATTTCAGTTCCAGAGTCCACACTCTCAGCTGCCGTTTTTCAGAGGATTTTAAAGAAATGAGCCTAAGAGCTGATGAGAGTTTCGAGAGTTATTTTGGTGTGATAAAATTATTATTATTATTATTTTTATTATTATCATTTTTGGAGACAGTCTTGCTCTGTCACCGGGCTAGAGTGCAGAGCTATCAGCCTAGCTCACAGCAACCTCAAACTTCCAGGGCTCAAGTGATCCTCCTGCCTCAGCCTCCTGAGTAGCTGGGACTACAGGCATGTGCCACCATGCCCAGCTAATTTTTCTATTTTTAGTAGAGACGGGGTCTCGCTCTTGCTCAGGCTGGTCTCGAATTCCTGAGCTCAAGCCATCCTCCTGCCTCGGCTTCCTAGAGTGCTGGGATTATAGACGTGAGCCACTGCGCCTGGCCTAGTGTGATGAAATTAGATGCGTCATATTCTTTGGCATCTTTCTCTTAATCTATACTAGTTCATCACTTAGGACTCAGGAGTGTCGAAGATTTAATTATCGTCTATGGTGTAAGAGTAAATTGCCCGATAATTTAAATTTTGCCTTCTTCCTTTTATATTAGAAATGTATAGGTGCCGTACAGGTGTATTCTTAGCAAGGGTGTAGAAGCTCAATCCTAAATTGATTTTTCTGATATTAGAAGTCAGCCATTTTGAATACTAGATTCTGTAAACTGATTCTGGAACTCCTACTCCTTTAGCAGGTTTTCACCTTTCTCCTCACACTCGCATTTTTACTTGAAATCATATAGCATATGTCTAGCAACGTGACAGCATAAATATACACAGCACAAACTGAATGAATTGTGAAGAAGTCATTTAAGAAATTCACTAGAGTAAAATTTCCTGCCAAACAGTACTAAAGGTTCTATGATTAACTGGGTCTATTAACTATTTTTCTGTTACACCATGCCAGAAAAGAATTTTAAAAGTTAATTTTATGTTTTATATGATCATGTTATTCAGAATGGAGCTCTGTCAGCATTATGGTTTCTGAGTAATTCTGCTGCTCCCATCTCTTTGAAAATGACGATAACGCTTGCAACTCGTCCCACTGTCGAGTACTCTAGCAGTGGTGATGGTTTCACTCCATCACATCCACCCAGAACTGTCTCTCAAGCCTCTCCATCGTCTAGCGTTTTTTTGACACAGATCAATAAGGCCTGTAGCCAGTTTTAGGCTAGCAGCACTAGAGGTCTTAGGCAAGGGCAGAGATTGACATCATGTTCTTAGCAGCCAATGTTAAACAAGTGCTACACACACACACACACACACACACATGTTTACACAAACACAAAATTTTTATTGATCACTCATTCAAAAACTGTAAATCAAGCAACCACTGTGATACAGGCTATGCTGGCCAGTGAAGATACACAACCAACAACATGGTCCCTGCCCTGGCGTGGGTCATAGTCCTGTGGGTGCACGACGAAGTGTGACAGTGTGATGCCGTTACACTGTCAGAGCAGTGGGCAGGCAGCCCGCAGGAGTGGTA